TCCATAAGGTCAGGCGACACATTTATGCACCACTGTCTGGGAAATTTCATAGCATTCTAAAAAAAAAACACCAGAAACGAAACCGTCAAGATTTTGTCGAATTTTATTCGACCAGGTAGGTTCTGAATTATGGAAAACTAAACTCTTCGATTCCATTTGTTTCGACTGTCTGTTGTTTTTCATCTGTCGGCGATTTTATTGGACAGATAATTTCCGGAACTATTGAACTTTCGTGTGAAATACTAGAAGTATTGTGTAGATGGTATAACGTAAAACTATTGTGTCTGATAATTCACACCAAATCCATATATGTGATTTATTAATCCACCTTTATTTTAACCTTATACAGAAATGTCTTTTGTAAAAAAAAATCAAAAGCATACAATAATATTTTATAATTTAATTTAGAAACAACGGAACCAACTGCTAATTTTGCTAAGAAAATTTAGATTAAAATTTCTAGTGTGGAGAATTGTTTGTAGAGGATGTCTCTGAAAATGTTAGTGGAAAAAAGCGTAATTTTATAAAAATCCAGCTTTTATTTTTTTTAGGATAATAACCATAACGACCAGTGGTCATTAATCGTCGTGCATTATTATTAATAAAACAAGCTGCTATTTTTCATTAATAAATAATTTGATTTAATAGAGGGTGGGTGGGCGGGGTTAGTACCTGCTGAAACAAAATCGATTTTGGCAAATGACATCCGCTAATTGCGAATTTTCTTTCTACATCAGAAATTTCACATATTATAAAAAAAATTTTGATCTGAAAAGAAATTTTAATACCTCGGAATGTTCATTATCGTTAAAAGTCAGATAATATTATAAATTATTATTTTTTTCCAAATTTTCCAGAATCATAAATTCTTGCATGAACACACGTCAATTAGTTTTTTCTTTTTATACTAAAAAGAAAAAAGGTTTAATAAATCGAAAATCTTGGAGATTTTTTACAATTTCAGAATTTTCAAAAAATTAAGAAAAATGAAGGCTGAAATGCAATCTGTTTTCAGTTCTACATAATTTTTTTCTACTTTTCTCGATGTAGTAATAATAGTTAATGCTATTTAGATTTTATAAATATTTTTAATACTTGTGACTTATGAATCCGCCTTAATTTTTTACGCTACAAACTGCGTAACAGCGAACGGTTTGATATCTTCCAAACGTTTTAAAATTATCGTAAGCAAGGTAAATCGTTAATCAAAATATATCTGTTGATTCCCCCCAAAAAATTGATGACGTAATCTCAAAATTTGCTCGATAAATATATCTGTTATGTATTATGTATAAAGTAGTATAGGTCTATACGGGGCTAGTAGTAGATAAGACTGATTTTGGCAAATGAGATTCCTCTAAGAAATAGAGGGCGGGTGGGCGGGGATAGTATCTGCTAAAATAAGATCGATTTTGGTAAATGACATATTCGCTATGAAAATAGAGGGCGTTTGGGCGGGACTAGTACCTGCTAAAATAAGATCGATTTTGGCAAATGAAGAAAGAGAAGAAAAGAGAGGGTGGGTGGGCGGGGCTAGCACCTGCTAAGGTAAGAGTGATTTTCGCAAATGATATACCTTCCAAGATTAGAGAGGGTGGGTGGGCGGGCCTAGTACCTGCTAAGATAAGAATCATTTTGGCAAATAACATACCTTCCAAGAATAGAAAGGGTGAGTGGGCGGGGCTAATACCTGCAAAAATAAGACGGATTTTGACAAATGACACCCTTTAAGAAAAAAAAAACGGCGGGGAGGTGGGGCCACTACTTGTTAAGACTGATTTTGGCAAATGAGGTAGGTATCCTTTAAGACATTTAATTAAATTATTATAAAAAAATCAATTAGGGGCTCCAAAGCACTTTCAGATTCTTTCCAAACAAGAATACCTAGAACCTCAAGATTGTTTTAAAATTTAAAAAAAAAAAGGGGTCCTAAAATTAAACTCAAAAACAGGTGAGGTCATTTACAAAAAAAATCTCAATGTGCTCCCAAAATAATACACCATGAGTACTCAAGAGTCTCCCGAATTAAAAAAAAAACGCAGCGGCATTTTTTCAAAATCGTAAAAAATAAAGTACTACTAGAAGCTCATCCGGCAATAAAACACCTTTAAATTTATACGAAAATAAAACACCAAAGGACCTAAAGGTAACTGCAAACATTTTAAACATAGGATTTTGAAAACTTTGGCAATTTTTGATATGTCAAACATTTTTAACAGCTTACTCGATTTTTGTTGATTTGTACTTTCGCTTTATATCAGGCAAATATTCTTGTCAAATGGAATTTCATCAAATTATTACCAAAAACAACACAGCCATATTCTAACTAAAATGGTAATTAAACATGGTCATAGGCGAGAGACCATAAAAATAAAATTTTAAATAATTAACTGAAAGTTTTGTTACTAGTTGTAGTGATAATGAATGTGTTGCGTAGTTAGTTGTTAAACGTAGCCAAAAATCAGTATAACTCCTCCAAAATGTGAGAAGGAATTTTTTACTATTCTTAGAGGTATCTCATTTGCCAAAATCACTCTTATCTTAGCAGGTACTAGCCCCGCCCACCCACCCTCTCTATTCTTGGAAGGTATGTCATTTGCCAAAATCATTCTTATCTTAGCACGTACTAGCCCCGCCCACCCACCCTCTCTATTCTTGGAAGGTATGTCATCTGCCAAAATCACTCTTATCTTAGCAGGTACTAGCCCCGCCCACCCACCCTCTCTTTTCTTGGAAGCTATGTCATTTGCCAAAATCGGTCTTATTTAAGCAGGTACTAGCCCCGCCCACTCGCCCTGTATTTTCTTAGCGGGTATGTCAGTTGCCAAAATCGATCTTATTTTAGCAGGTACTAACCCCGCCCACCATGGCAGCATGGTAGCGTGTCCATGTTTCAAGTAGTTTTTTCCGTAATAAAATTTTACGCTGCCGTCATCAACGTAAATTAGACGTCTAATAATTCAAAATGTATAAAGTACGACGTTCGTCTACAGTATCAACATAAATTTAAAAATGTGGGATATCTTGGGTAAAAATAAAGCGAATTCACAAACCACAAATATAAACGTACGAGATTAATGAATGATGTCAAGAGGACCGTGAACACCATTTAAGAAATAAACTTTCCGTTTTCGAAAAATACAGTCTTTCGTTTTGATAACAGATTTATCTTCTCCTAGAATCCATATTTTTCGATATCCTTTATGATTTGAAGAAATAAACGTTAAAATTTGTTTCAAAGCTGGACAATTAATTAGTAAATAAATTTCATACCACATAATATGTAAATGATTTGTTAAAAACCCTGTATGCAGACCACAGACCGACAACAGACGGACAGACCAAAACGGGAAACTTTTTTTTTAATAGTTAATTGAGAAGTACAAATAAATGAAAATGATATAACTGATAACAGAAATATTTGAAACACGATTTGAATTTAAGAAATAGGAATTTATAGCAAAAAAAATCAGTAACAAGATACACCATACCGTACTGTCTGAAACAACAAAAAAGAAAAAAAACAAGTAAAAAAATATAGAACAATAAAATGATAAATGTGAAGACAAAATAAAACAACAAAAGGTAGGAAAAGAGACGAAAGGTTCATAGCTCCAACAAACATGAAGTTTATGAAAGAAGAAATAATTTTTTGTCGTAGGATATAAAATACAAACAGCTAGTAATTGTTGAATAATGGGTCTTATTCGACGAAATATATACAGGATTATTACATTCCTTGATTGTCAATAGCAACAAATTTGTCGTTTATATACTGAGTAAAAATTAACTAAACAAATTTATGAAATTGTTTAACAAAGTTTGAAGTGATGAAATTGGTGCAATCGTCGTCAGTTGAAGAGAAAAAGTAAACAAAAAAAAGGCTATTCAAGACGACAGAACAAAATGATACGAAAACAGGTGACCATGAAGAGAAACCATTCTTAAGATGAGACAAAAATTATCACAATAGAACATTGTTTGATTAACCATATAGATAAATCTTCAAAAAAAAGTGAAAGAGAAAATAAACTTTGGGAAGATAGATACTGTCACAAAAACTAATTATAGTAATGAATCCGAGACATCACCGTCCGAAGAATTAGTTTAGTAGTAAAAAACAATTTAGCAGCGCGTTTACAACCTAGATAAATTTCTAAACCAAGATGCAACAGACACAGTTAATCCATTTAGCTTAATTACACAAAATAAATTACGAAGAGCAGCAATGCAGACAAAGATTGCAAAAGCTCACGACCCGTCTTACATCTATGCGACGTACAAACAAATCTGTATCACTTTCTCTGTACGGATAAGCTCTTGGGCTATAATCACATCATACAAAAAACAACCCACTTCGTATTATTACGATGTTAAAAAATCGATGAACTCATAATTTCACGATATTACATACGATGATTTGGAAAGAAAAGTACCATTGTTTCATAATCGATATATCTGCGGTTAGAATTTGGCGAAAAAAACGGGAATGTTGAACCAGAGCGTGAAAGAGTCGCAATTCGTAGAGTAAATCTTGTGTAACAGAATATGACAAATGTTAAAATATTACTCAATGGTGACGCTATTGAACTGGTCGAGAAAATGCGATGCGGAGCTGCTAGTTCTGTCAAAATTCAACTAAACAATAACCATGTCGGATAACTAATTATTATTATTAATATCCTGCCTAGAGATAGAGAGCACGGCACAATGCACTAAATTAGTAAATTTTACACGTCAATTAACTTGCATAATAGCACACTGTTATCCTTTAATAATAGCATTCTCGCCAAACAAGGCCCGATTTTCACGGCGCGCACTTTTTATTGGGAACCACAAAACTCTACCGAATCGATTAGATTCTCACTAGAAGACAAATCCGTGACATTGAGTCGGCTGTTTAAATATTCAACCTTCGTTTCTATCCAAACAACTATTCTTGAGAATCTCTTCAACGCCCAGTTATTCACGGATAATATTCAAAGTGGAGGAAAACTCACAAAACTCACGAGTGGTAGTGTCTCCGGGGTGTACAGTGTGTCTCCCCTAATATCGGTCTGTCTGTACTAATCTCCAATTGCTTCGAGTGTAAGTTGAAACTGTAAACACTAAGTTGGGCGTCACTAATTAGCGGAAGATTGTAGCTTTGTTGTAATATGTACAAACTATTGGCGCGAATCGTTGATCCGAGCACTCTACACTAACAAATAAAACAACCGGAATTATTATCCCGCAGCACGACTTGTTTTCTGCAAACATCTAGCAGCGCGGAGATCTCGCAGAAATTCAGGTTTGCGATGTTCCACGTCGCATCGTCAATTTCCTTGAAAATGGCAAAAAAGCTTGTCAAATGTCTGACTGGTAGGATTTGTTATCAAGTGAAAGGAACGATTATGTCATTTGAAAAATAAACACCAATCACCGAGAAGAAAAAATCTTCTGTTTTAAGGTGTTGCTTAATTGAACTGTACACTGTTTACTTTGCACAATATTCTGGTTCAGCAAAGATAATTACGCGAAAAAACCTAATGAAATTCTGAAGAAAGTGTAAAACGTTTCCTGAATCCTTAATCTATCGGTTTTTTGCAGGATTTCACCTGTTAGCAGTCAATTATCGATCGCAAAAAATTAACTGCCGAATTCCAGATCTGTTGTCGGACTAGTCGTGATAAAAATCTCCTCCACATCTGGCGAAAGTACATAATTTATAATTTAATTACGTGCCGTATAAGTTCGCTCGTATTTATGAACAGAACTCGAAACTTTGGCGTGCCGTTTCGTTCCCGAAAGGCGATTTAAATAAATTCTTTTACGAACGAAATTTCAAGAGGGCGATAAAGTGAAATTGCAAAATAAATTTCGGCAAAAAGTGGATTTTCGCAATTTATTGTAACCAAATCTTCCGGCAGCTGTTGACCGTCCATTCTTGCAACTTCCCCTGGAAGCACTCCGCCTTCCAAGGATAATTCGCACAATGGCCACAAGTTTCCTGAACCAGTCGAAGCCACAAGGTCGCCGGTTGTGACACCGTCATTCAGTATTTTTAGCCTTTTTTTGCAATTCACAAGATTGTTAGTCATCTTCACGTTACGTAGCGTACAGGTGACTAAGGTCACGGCTGAGGACAAACTGGAACCAGTTTAGCAGTGTCTTAAGCAAATCCAGCTGCAGAGAAAGTAGCCGTTGCGCTGCAGATATTGACTGAGGTTTGTTTTTGCCGTGACTGCGGTCAGGTTCAAGGCTAGGAAGGGAAAAAATCGCTGGATTCACGAGCACCAGCCGGAGCGTTGCAGCTTCAGAGTTTCTTTTCCGATTACTACAAAAGACACTTTACCGAGAGTTAATTGCCCTTGTTATTGATGATCTAGTGATCTCCTGCCACAGAACGTGCGGTTTCTCTTGGCTTACATTTTTAAGATTATTCATTTGTCTCAACCAAGTCGTCTGTCTTCATTTCTTGCTTATAGTTATATTGTTGTTCATAGCAAGTACACATATGATTGATGTATGAAATCCTTGACCCTAATCGCACCAGCTGATTACGCCTTTATACTGAAATTGATTATGAAGTAAACACCTTCTATTATAATTTTTTTTCAATAAAAATTGATTATTTGTCTTTAGGGAATGGTGGTAAGTAGGGGAAAATGACTGTGGATTAAGTAATTTCTCTGTGACTAGGAAATTACCCTTAAACGCACGTCAGGGCAACAATTATGACTGTTTGATTTATTAAACCGGAAAGGGTGGGATAATTTTCCTTCCCCAGCAACAGCCAAAGGAAATATTCAATAAGGTGTCATATTTGTCCATTATATTAGACGATCTCCAAACTATCGTATCATTACTCCCTTCCACTACTACTGACGTCATTTAAAAAATTATCACTTTTTTGTTCTTCTCTAATATACTAAGCGACGTCACAGGATTGGTTTAGGGTAGACTTTGCCTTAAAAGAGATTTGTCTTTGCTTAATGCGTCACGAACTTAAAATCACTGTCAAATTAACGCGGCAGCCGGATTATAACTCGACACACGTTCAGTGATCCGCGACTTCATAAAGTTAGGTGAGCGCTTTTTCACCCGATCGTAGCTCACTCACCTCCTATTACACTTTCTGAACAGATTTTTTCCTCCGAGAAGCTGCGAAAATTAGACGAATCTTATTTAGCATCCGAAAGTTATTTACGAGAGACATAAAAGTCTAAGGCAGCATTTTTCCTTTGACTGAATTTCTGTATGGTTGCCTTAATAAAGTGTAGTCTTGTATCCCGGATCGCATCACAAAGGATCTCCTATATTCTTTACAGACACAAATATATAATAAAATGAGAGCGTTTTCTTATATTAAGAGTGTCATTCGCACCATAAGAGTTGTATTACTTCTATATGACGACCGTAATTTCAAGCCGAGGTTGGCGAGAGAGTTAATATTACGAAAAGTCGCAAGAAGCCGGGCTCTGTAGTCGACAGCGACTCTTATTGATAGCACTCGTTGTGAAATACAAGCTTGCCGACATCTGAAATTACTGTTAATAACGACCACGCAACCCCCGATAATAATTCGAATGAAAATTTAATGAAAATTTTACCGGATTCGCTCGATGTGAGGGTTTAATTGTTTTTCAGGAATTTGGCGCCAAACAAAGAAAAATGACGAAATCGCTCCGAAGGAATAAAGAAAAATCGGATAGGGGGTCACTGAAAAATTAAAATTACCTGCAATAATTGAAATTCCTGCCGCCGGAGTGGGCTCCAACAAAGCTTTTTTTAATTTAGGCGCAACAATACAAAAGCCAGCAGATCGAAAATAAACAACGTAATATAGAATTAGATTAACTCCCTAAATAGCTTATTATATACGTACAATTTTGTTATTACTGTCTGTTAAAAAGAAATGTCTGTGTAAAAATTAATCAATGCGAATAATTCTTTCAATATTTCAAGAAGCAAGTTATTCGCTCTATTGTGTTTTTATTTTGCAAATGTTGCTCGTTATGTCGTCCGACAAGATGAATAAATTTTCTCAAAAATGGCTTCATTACCACCGAGCATAAACCAATTAGAGTAAAATCAATATACTCATTTAGCCTAATTAAAACACAAATTAATGATAGTCTGGGATCACCGATTGGCTGAAACAGAAATACAAAATTTGTCGAAATCCTGTTGCGGATTACGAAATACCATTTTGCTCATTAAAACACTTCCTTTTATAATTTGTAAATTCAAAAGCAACCCTTTAATTATTCAATTCTTTTCACGTTAAAATCTGAACCATTTTATCGGTAGTCCCACAAAGTGTCCATTTAAAACCGTTAACTTTTAACAACATCCAATTTGAAAGGGGGTAATATGAATGGTGCTTTAATAATTATAACGGCACGCAAATAGATTAAATCGCAATTACTTTGTCGAATGAGTGTGGTGACATTCCAAAAATTCGGCTTGCCCCACATAATATAAAGCTATGCGGGGTATTTGACTGTATATTCGCGTAAATATATAGCCGTGACAAATAATTAAACATTATGTATACACATGCATGGAAACTTGCCAGGTTAAATGATATTTAGTATTTATGGGATTTTCGAGGTTATAATGAGACAACAAGCTTGTTGACTAATTGAAGGTTCGTGACATCATAAATTAATTCTATATGCTAGGGTGCGTACTGTCAGACTAACATTTTCGTGCCGCATTTCTTATGCATTATGGGACAATCTCATTTCTCTTGGACACTAACTGCTAAAGAGAAGGAACAATTGTCCCCCGAGCTAAAGACAAATTTGTTTGTGACAACAAAAATCCGCCTTGGTATTTCATTAGTAGACTATTTTAATATAAAACTAATAAGAGGTGTATTGTACGCTTCCGGGGCGCTGTTGTTTGACTCTTGACATATCTTTCACAGAAAACGATATATGAAGTTATGGCGTCTCATTCAGTGCACGGGAAAAATTGGCTCGCTCAAAACATCTTGTTACGGAAGAAATCAGCACAAAGGGCCGAACTAAAGTAAAGTATTAATAAAGTTGAGGAGCAGCTCGAGCTCTTTGTACACTAGATTCCCTATGTAATTAAATACGTGGATGTCGAGTGGGTATTCAGAACCTTACTTAGATTATTTCGCGTCTCGTTTACCTGGAGATGTTTCTCACATTCAGGTCACTATTTCGCAATATGAGACTCCGCACACGCGTGAAGCCATGTACTGTCAGTCCAGTGAGAAGAAGAATTTTATTTGTTAATTAATGTCGGAAAATTGTGATAATTATAGCACGTTGCTACAGGTGGAAAACTTACAATACACTCGCTCTCAGACTTTGAACTATAATATCTAAAGTAACTAAAAATGATGAGGATGATATACCATTCAGAGTCTTTCAGACATTCACGCGTTCTTTGTTCGTTCTCTTCTTTAACCCTTTATAATAGTCAAAGCAGTGAAATCTTGATCTACACTTTTTTGTTTCGTGAATTTAAATTCTAAGAAAGTCCTTTATTATTACTTCCACTTCATTTCTAAGAGCTTTTTAAATGAATTGGAGATGTTATTTTTGTTCGCTACATTTTATTTTATTTCTTGCTTCCGCGAGCGCTCACCACACGACCTGGCGAGCGAACTAGCGCCCGAGCACCGCCGCTCCCGACCGAAGGCGCCACTCCAGGTGGCGTTAAGGTGGCCGCATAAGCCTAGGTCGGCCAGATGTGTTACTATTTCAGCGGCACTAGTCGGCCCAAGGCTTGGCACCGAGGCACGCCGCCCCCACGCGTAATCGGCAAAATTCCGGACCGTCACCGTCCATCCCCTGGAATTTCGTCGCAGCTTCTTCTAGTAGAATTGGAAAATTTTTGTCTCTGTGTTTACAATAATTGAACTACTTTGATATGCCATCCATTTAGTAGAAATTGTTCCTTGCAATTACTTCGTTACAATTTGAAGTTCGTTTCTTAAAATTAATCTGCTTCCTACGATATAGCAGTTTGAAGATTTAGCAAATTCTTCTTCCTTTGGTTGTTTCTAGTCATTTCCTTTGAACTTTCTTTGCGCCTTTGTCCGGTACTTCAACAGTTGTAAACTATGCCTCATTTTTAGGAGATTTATAGGGTTCTTTCGAATCATCTCCATCATCGTGTTCTAATTCTGTCTTACTGAAGATTACGTTTCCTATTTTTTCTTG